AAAAATATTTCATAACAATATCTCTACACCACATTACTTGCCGCATGATTCCGCATAGTTCAGCGAAATGTAAGCCGATATCGGAACCGTTTAGAAGGTTGAGGGTTGCCCATAGCTGGTGGACTCCATGTATGCAAACAATATATATGTATTCAGAAATTCGGGTTTATTAATCCCGTTTCGATAGAAGACATGCCATGTATCAACATTATTGTAATTATCGAAATATGTTGGAGAGATTCAAACGTTCCGAAATTTGGCTCGATAATATTTATGTAACTAAATGTGTTACAAAAGTGTTGTTTGGCTCATTTGTAAAAATCCTTTCTTTCTGATCTCTATGCAGCAGATCGAATCCAGTTGCATGTCCGTTCTTTTTTTTTTTTTTTTGTTTTTTTTTCTTATCCGTGATTTTTTTTTGTCAAATGAACTGATTACAGTACTTCTCTCTATTGTGTCAATAAAGTATTATTGATTTAAAACAAAATAACTCTGAAAAGGCTCTTATATCTTTCTATGAATATTTGTTTTTAATTCTCCAAAATACATATTTGTTAAAAAAATTATATTTTTAATTAATTGTTTATTTTATAAAATATCTTATTCTAGAAATGTAAGGAATATAATAAAGGAATCCAAAACCTCCCAGATTCTACGACCATTCTCATCCTACGGGGAGAGAATCCACAAGTTTCGCCGCATAGTTTTTCACTGTGAGCGACTCCTCCCAGCTGTCATGGATTATTTGCCAGAGCGCAATCGGCATTGTTAGGTTTCGGATCAGGCCAGTTTTCGGCCCATGTACGTCTTGTCTGCCAAACATTTTCAATCGGGTTTAGTGTCTGGTGCACATGGTGGCCAGTCAACAACCTGAATACCTTGTTTTCCGCAAAAACGATTGAACCAAAGCGACTATGAATCGGTAATTGATCCTGTTAGAATTGAATTATCCCTCAGGCATGCAATTGCTTACTGACGATCATGATATCTGTCAGTATGTGATATGTACTGTGAAGCATTTAAATTGTCTTGATTCTATGGATCATTCCAATCCCACGAGATGACATCCAGCCCCAAACTGCTAACTGCAGAAACGACCCAGACCTGGGACTTGCTTTACGTACACGACAATCATAGCAGATTCTTGGGGTCTGAAACGCGAACGGGTCCATCATTTTGGAGAGGAGAATATACTCTCATCAGAGAAAATGACATCAGCCAGTCTCGATGTAAATTTTCCTCCGCAAATGCCAATCGAAAGAGCTGTGTTCTATCAGCTTCGTTTTTGAGCTGCACTTCTGGATCGCAGACCACCCTCCGATAGTCTATTGCGTATGTCTGGAGCATCCAGGAAATCTGGCGGTTCTTTGCAGTTGTGAAAAAAGTTTGAAAAGGGTTTTCCACCGCTGCTTGTATCAAAACTTCATCTTGGCAGCATCTGAAATACCAAAGCCCTCTCCTAGTTCCTCCCGGATTTGCCCGTCTCTCGATAACGTTTAAGCTGTTCTTGCCCACGCATACCGACTCGCCGCTCTGAATTAGAGAGGTGACCCTCTTCTAACAAATGCAATAACTCGCCTCTCGTGTGGCTTGGCTATGGTAAGCCCATGTCAAATAAATGAATGCAGATAGTTCAATTTGCTTAGCCGCGATTTTCTTTTCTTACAAAGTGGCACCTGCTTCAGAGCCCCTATCTCCTTTTGACCTGCCAGTCGAAAACACGAAGTATTGCGAAGGTCAGATTCAATCGGTAGTACGTGAGGCTTACAAGAGAAATAGATCATCTCTCTCAACAAAGAAATGAAATTTATTCCACGTCTTATAACGAGATATATGTAGCAAGCAAAATGACATCGTTATATGGCTAATTGGCAGTCTGATGTTTAACTAGAAGCAGCATATTTTTTGCGTTAATTTTTGGTCGAAATTGTTTTTGAAATGACAAAATCGCTATTTCTGCCAATTATGTGTTTTTACAATTCTGATTTATATTTTTGTGCATAAAAAACGTTCAATACCACATAATGGATTTCTATTTACATCTGAAATAGATCTTTGTTTGAATTGCAATGACTTCAATAGCATGACAAACTCTCAGAATATTTTTCCCTTCAAATTCGTTATCGAACAATGTTATTTTGTAATTTTTTTTACTTCACAGCTACGAAATCTCAATACCCACATAACTCAGGCCTCCCACATGAAGGCACGGATCTCAGAAATATCATCATCAGAATCAATGAGCACATTTATCATCAAAACATTTTATTTACTTCAGTGTAGAACATTGCATTTCTAAACCTTGCACACTAAAATTATTGTAATTAACAGACCATCAACAGTCCATCATCTTTATTCACATTATTATATCAATAGCTAAGGGAGTCTATGCAAGAATTTTTTTAAACTTTTTTATAATTAGGTATAGTAGAAATAAAAGTCATATCAAAGCAAACAAGAGATGCTTCAAAACGGCGATTTAATGAATTATTTACAGATACAAACACGAGTCAACATGTTCTTGTCAGAATATTCAACTATAATTTTTGATATGTTTAAACGATATTGTCTTTCCGAGCTTTTAGGAGTTCCATCTTCATGTTTTAATTCGAGTAAAAATGACAAATAATACGACAATATCTTTACGTTCTTCTTATTCGCAATTAGATTATGTCTATAGGATTATAGAAACTTATTTTATTTTAGTCTCCTATGAGTATTACCGCTTTTGAGAATTGTTTGTTTGCATTTCCTTATTCGCACATGAGAAATTTTGCTTAAATTATGCATAGCATTGACCACGACATATATAGCACGTTTGTATTTAGTGGATTTTATGGCACTGTAGAATGAATAAAATATCTACGTAGACTGGAACCGAACCGCTACTTCACGAGTTCTAGAACATCTCTTCGACACTGAGCCATTTTTTCGCCCTTTCTAATACATCTCAACAACACATTTTATACTAACGAAACTTTAAGCAACAATCACGTTTACCAAAGTTAATGTCAGTTCTGTTTTGATGGCAGGAATCACGAATTCTTCTTCCTCTGTACTATTACTTTAGCGCTGAACGTCATAAAATGTTTTGATACACTCTCCAATAAAATAAATTTAACTATAGTTCGATCTACAGAACGTAGTTTCGAAAATAAACGTTAGATAGAACTATCGGCAAGCAGGGATGTCCAGCGCCATCAACCTCTCGGGCCAAGGCACTTCCGACGCGAAATTTTATGTTTCCAAGAGTGTACCTACTATGCATTATTACTCAAAGTTTACTTTTTTCTCTGCATTCACTTGGCATTCTTCAAATTTAAGAGAGTTTCAAGGAAATGCTATACGAGGGTGTTTGCAAATTTATTATTAAAAGTACGATAATACGGACGAAATACTTCACTTCTTTATGTTCAACGCTACATCATTATTGACAGTTCTCCCGCGTTTTTCACATGTTCCAGGGGCGTTGGTTCAATTCTCTATCTTCCCACTAAGATCGCAACGCTAAAACACACAAACTATTTTTTCGGAAATTTCCAAATATTTTCTGGCCTCATCCAATAACAAATTATCCGTTCCACACCAGGAGACCGAGGCGCATCGAACGCGACCTCGTATGTCTCGATTGGTGCGGGGGATGTCCTACCATGAGTGGCGGATCTGCACACCCGCAGTTACTCAACTTGTTGTGGGGATTTAATGTAGTGTATATTATAAAGTCGATGAATAGGGGGAAGCGATTACACGTTCAGGGTGCACTCGATTTCATAGATAATCACGAAGTTGAGTTGAAAGTTCATACTTAGTTTCAAACGGAAACTCTAAATTTTTTACATAGTTATTTTGTGATTTTGACATCATTTTTATTATGTTATTGATAAGGAAAAACCCTTCTTAAAACTAATAAAAGAGGTGTTGTCTAGATGTATTCATATTTAATAAATTGTAACATAAAACTCGCATAACGATCTTTATCAGACATAAAAGAATTTATTTACAAATGAGTTCATTGATAAAAATATCTGTACAAAATATCACCAATCTAACTGGATCGCTTAAAGTTAATGCATTTTCTGACACGAAATTATTAAATAATTCGGGAAAAATTAACAAAAGGTAAACAAATAGCCATAATTTCAAGGGCGAGGTGCTATAGCACATTCTTCTTATGTTGGTGACGGCTGATAAAATTCTTATAAATATATGTGAGTTTACATACCCGACAATCCATACGGATTCGTCAACAATCTAAACTTTGAATTTTTAAATGTTAATCATGACATATCAATGATACACAAGCGAAAGAAAAACGAAAACACGACGTTTATGTAACTCGAGCCTGATCTGAGGAAATATATTGAATAACTAACATACCGGTCGTAAATAAATACAACAAATTATACAACCACCACTAACCAATGTGTGTTACACCATTAGGCAGAACATTTAATCTGTAATGTTCACTTGTAATGTGAAAAAAATGTTATTAATGTGTGTTAATTGTGCATGTTACTAAACACAAGTACTTTCTCTTCAGGACGGTTACCCCCTTCGGCCGAAAGCCTTCCATTACCTGCATCTCTCGCCGTTGTTCGAGACGCTCTTCGGCATCTTTAAATCGTTCATGAAGGAAAAACTGCGCAAGAGGGTAGGTGCTATGTAATATTTTAATTGAATAATGGATGCTTGTTTTAATGCTAAAAGTCCGAAAGAAAATATCTGTTTTCGAACCTTTGAATACATTTGAATATTTATTAACAACGAGATGCACTTCGTTGAAATCAGTTCCAATATGTTTTTTGTTTAGAATGATTGGAGTACACGCTCCCCTTGCACACTAACTCTTTTACTAGTGGCTAATGGTCTAAAAACGTTAATTTCCTGTAACTGCGCATATTAAATGACTATTTTCCTCGAACAAGTGGTCGTCGTCTGAACAGCCCGGAATGAAGGCGACCAATTAAAAACACCGTCCTCCGCTGTCGCGTGCATTGCAGATCGCCACCCACCCGGACCGCGAGTCGCTGTACCGCGCGGTGCCCCAAGAGATCCTCCCCGAAGAGTACGGCGGCCAGGCGGGCCCCGTGCAGGAAATCGCAGGTAAGCCTCGAGAGGGCCAGGCTCGCCAAGGCAGCCACCTCGCTTCCAGTTACGGCTCCGGCACGAATGCTTGGGGTGTCTCTGTTGTCCAGACGTGTTCTCTCTTTACTTGCCAATCCTAATAAAACAATCAGAGTTGAGGCAACGGGAGTGACGAGGCAACAGGAGGGACGAAGGATCGGGAGAGACGAGGCAACGGGAGGGACGAGGGAACAAGAGGAACAACGGACCGGTTGAGGGTTAAGTCGTTTTAAGTAATATGGTTGAGTTGAAGTAAGCTCTTGAAGTATTATTTTTCTGGCAAAATCTTGAATTTTGTAACTTTTTATTGTATTATATTTTATTATATTTTTTTCATTATATTTTAATAAAGTATATTCTATATGAGAGAAGTAAATATTCTATATTAAATTATGAAATTATATTAAGATGACGAAAAGAACCAACATTTTCAATACTTCGTATATTTTAATGAAAACCGGATGGGAGTTAAATTTATCAGCATTTCCGAAAATATTTCAAAAAGTAATTGATAAAAACATTTTGAGCCTTTTTTGAAAAATTTTAAGTCTTTATGGTCATTTTTAGTGACAGATCACCTACTGATCCACAAGGTTATCTGACGCACTTTGGAGTTCCGAGTAGCCTGACACCGCTAAGAATATTCCTACAAATTCTCTATTTTTCGTGAAACGGTATTAACAAAATATTTTGGTCTATAAGTACCGTAATAATAGGTTAGTTTTTATTGAATTGGGAATTGATTTAGTTTTGTAATTGTTATGTTTATTTTTTAATGAATTAGAGAAATTGAAACTCATTTGGAATTGAAAACCGAAAACCGTGAATATCATTTTGGCTTGGTCATTGTGAACAATTTTTATTAAATAAATTTTCAGTTATATCTGATAAGGAAGACAAGTCTCTGAAACGTCGTCGGATTGCATAAAATGAAATGATATAAACATTTTTGGAAGTATTTATTGCGGTTGTCCTAAATTTAAAAAAGGGGCTAAACAACATTTGATTACACTAAGTTTGTCACTAATTGTTTGTTACACAGATCGCTGGGCAGAGAAACTTGTCTCGTGGCGGCAGCACTTCGTGGAGGACGAGCAGCGGTTTGGGGTGGACGAAAGCCTGCGCCCGGGGCGACCCAAGACCCACCAGGACCTCTTCGGTATGGAAGGCTCCTTCCGCCAGCTGAACGTCGACTGACCGCGCAGACAGCGGCGCCTCAACTCCATGGAAGGCTCATCCCACCAGAGCCTAACCGCGAGCGTTCCGCCGTCTCCACTTCCCTTCCGTAGGACATTAGGAGGTGCCAACTTCTCAGAAACTACTTGCGTTAATTAAACATGCATTCAAGAACTGAAATTATAAATGGCTTATAATTTTCTTGACTCATTCAAATTCTTAAATAAAGCCTTTCCAGTCCTGCTATTTTTCCTAGTGTTCAAGCTAGCGTTGATTAGTTTCAATTTGTATTCACGGAGTGCATGAAGTGGTGGGACGATATTACTGGCACTGCCAGGAAGAAATTGGGAGGAGTCAGAAAGAGCTAAATAATATTTATTTCAATTTCTTTAGTAAATAAAACTAACAATGTACATAAAATTGGATTAAGAAAATACAATATGATACTTCTACAAAAATGTACAATTGTTTTTCCATTCATTAATCCTTTTGAAATACATCAGTCACATCTTCTTTTCTATTTACCAGACATTATGAGAAAATTATTTATCATCAAAATAGAAGTCTGAAAATACTCCAAGCGTAATCACAAGGAAGGGTACATGAAAACACGGTCAGTCAACTTTAACATTCTGAAATCGATATTTCGCGCATGAATTATTTAACAATCGCATTTGTGTGGGCGGAGGAAGTTCAACGCTTTTTGTTCTATGTTTAGCCAAGGAGTTACTGTTTCATCACACAAGACATCCATTTCCAGGGCCTTTCTCAACCGTAAGGGATTGTTTGGTTCTTCAAAACATAAAATGTGCGCAAAACAGTTCAAAATCGTCGCCATTAGCAATTCTTTTGTGGAAACTGTAGTGTTATTTAACAGCTAGATTTGCCCCTAGTTACGCTGATTTCTTATTTTAGAAGAATATTATGAAGAGGAATAGTTGTGTAATCAAAGGAACAAAATGAATGCAGCTAGTTCAAAAATAGAGTGGGGCGCCGCAGAAAGGACCACTTGCTATTGTACAAAAAGGAAAACATTCTCACCCAACTATGTGAAAAAATGAGCGTGTGTGTGCTGCTGTAGCACGAGTAGTTCGTCGATTTCCATCGTTCCATTTTCGTGAGGCAGGGGAGTATTCCCCACCTCAGCCGTTGGGCAGCAGCACTGAATGGGGGTTGTGCCCAGGGTTTCGTATAAACTGTCAATATCCTCCGATCACACACAGGGATGTTCTTTCTATTCAACGAATATTGTGCAGAGGTCTCCTAATTCAATCCATGTGATCCATGAATTATCACGTGGTCGGCTAGCTAAGGGATGTTTAGGACATCTATTTGGCACTTGGAAGAAATTGCGTGGAAGTATGAAAGAAAAAAAGTACTTTTACAATACACAAAATTTAATATTCCAAAGAAGATGAAGAAAATTGGTTAATAAAAAAATTAGTTGAGCTCACCAAAAATTAAAATTTTACCCAAAATTAATATCTAAGATAATCGAATAAGTCAAAGCGCAATTACCTCTATTAAATTCCTTAACAACTTTTGCTAACAAATGTTCTTCTTCTTCGGCTTTTTCCCCTTCGTAGCGTGCCGTTTTCCCCCTCCACAACTCTCCGTCCTCCCAATCGCCTGGTTTGAGGACTCTATCCTCCATAGCTTCCTGAATGAATTTTTCCCACTCTAAAACGGGGTTTCCTCATCTTTTCTTCTCAGGTATTGCCGCTTTAAGATCTTGTGTGGCCATCTGTTTTCAGACATTCTCTGAACATGTCCATACCATTGTAGTGCTCTATTTGCCAAGGTCTTCGTAATAAGACAAATTACATTCATCCTTCTCCATATTTCTTCATTTTGCACTCCTGCTTACCTGCGGGTAAGTTGTAGGCGTCGCCTCATGTAGTCCATTTCTAATCTTATGTTTATTTTTTTGTGTTTGCGGCCACATTTCTGCTCCGTATAGTACTATATTTTCTTCTACACAATGGAATATCCTTCTTTTGATATCCTGGCGGATATTGTTATTCCATAATACGCCGCTTTCTTCCCCATAATTACTCTAGAGTTTATATCTGTTGCATATGTACCCGAGTTGTTTATAAAGATCCAAGGTATTTGAAGGTATTAGAGCTTTTAATTTTGTTACCATTGACGTCTATATCAGTTAGTACTTGTCCAACGCACATACATTCAGTTTTACTAAAATTTATTTCTAATCCGCATTTATTATACTCTTCGATAAGCTTTCTTAGCCTGTACACCATATCTTCATCTTGAACAAAGATTACCTGGTCATCAGCAAATAGAAGGAAGTGAAAGGTGTCGTCTCCAATTTTTCTTCCCCTGCCTGAATACTTCTTGTACCAGTTATGTAGGGCTTGTTCTGGGTAGATATTGAACAAAATAGGAGATAATCATATCCTTGTTTTATACCCGTGTTTATCGGAATGATTCCAGTTAACGTATCTATTTTAATTTGCGCGTTGGTGTTCTTGTTCTTTCCGTCTAGTTGAAATGCTTCGTTAGCTTTCTATGAGCAGCAGTTCGTTCGGAAAAACTTCTCCGGTTTCCTTCGCAAGCAGCAGCGCCTGCACGGGCCAGAGACCCACCACTCGGCCGAGCTGCCCCCGGGCCGGGGACGACTCGCTCCGTCGGGGTCCAGGAATCGGGCGCCAGGCGCCAACCCCACCCCGACGCCCGCAGCTCAGCGGTTCGCTTTTAAAGAAAGTTGAACAGAGGATCGTAATTAGTAGTCGTCATAAACATGTAAACTGCGTTGACAACAAAATAAAATTTCGCCTGAATTGACGTGGAGAGCGACAGCGCTCACAACAAATCAAATTATCGCGGATGGGGATAACGACTCCGATGATTTGATTAAATAAAATGTCTGGCCACCCGGACTCAACAATTTATAAAATTTAAAAGAGGCAGAGAGGTGACTTCAAGTCATGTTGTGTACTCTCCAGCCGACGCGAACGAAGTGTCTTTTTGATTCTCTAAAAGTCTACGTATGCAAGTCATTTCACCTGACTTCCTTGATCCAGAACCAAGCGTTCGTGATTGGCCGAAACCTGTTGAGTCTTAAATTAATTTCGTCCAATGAAACCAAACTTGAGATCCGTTTTTCCTACAAAAGGTTAATTGTTTGAAAATTGCCTGTAACACGCAAAAGTACTCGAAAATTACAAGCATTATACAAAAAATCTGCATGACCTTATTTCAAGACCTGACTTTGAACAAGAGATTTAATCATGGGGGAAACGTCAAACTTTTGTAACTACGACGCCGAAAAAAGGAACATTTGCATTTCTAAAAATCAGTAATTTCAACGAAAGTGCTGATGCCTGGGCTTTTCTTTTGTGTGTTCTTTACGATAACCGAGGATAAAAGCAATCTAATTATTTGATTGATTTTTATTTATTGAAATTATTTAACTTCACCTAAATAATCAAAATATTTTAAATCAGTTTTGAAAAATGATTGATAATGACGTTGAGACTTCAAGTAAACAACCCCCAGATATTAAATTATCCATTTCAAACTCACAAGGCCTCGAATTCCTTCAGATCGATCGGGGAATATCGATTTCGTCGCACGTGCACGTTTCCGTCAGAAGAAAATCTATTACACTTGGATTCGCCCGACCAGAGAACAACCAAGACTCGACCAAGGATCCTCTTTTTCCTTGCGGGTTTTTTTTCAGAAGTCGATTCGCAATATATTGTTTGACAAGTGGTGAAAGTCGTAATCTTCCTGGAACAGTTGAAGTAGATAATTCAACACCATAAACCTGGGACTTTTTTGTTTCGAGCCAGGTGCTGGCAGAAGTGGATCCTTCCGAATTTCCTAGCAGAGTCGTGGGGACGTTGTTCGCGGCCTGGCTCGATTGCCAGGACTGTCGGGCTTCGTCTGTTTGCATTTGTGGATTGCATACTGAACTCCTTTTGCGAAACATGCAGTTCTTTTGCAATTTTGTTCATTAAACTACCTTTCCTTCGCTGGCTAAAAATACCCTGTCGACCAGTCTCAGTGGCGTGTCTCGCACGACCCAACTAGATTGATCAACAAAATACCCAACGCAAGAAAAACACGTCATGCGATCTCAAACAATTCAAATAAAATCGAAAGAAGTCGAAAAACTACTATTATATTATAATGTTTATAGTGGCACTATTATGACTGTTAAAATTCTTACCTTTGAACCTTGATTCTACTCTGCCTAGCCGGAAACGTGGTTCAATGACTGATGTCTTGGATTCATAAGTGAGGTTAGGGTTACTGATTATAAACACGTGTCAAGGCATCGCGCGGGAAAAACGTTATGGTTTATCTTTGTTATCATAGGAGGCGCTAGGGGAGGTTCTATTTTATATACCGCTACTACATATGTGTATTGTAAACAATTGCAGGCTACTATATTTACAAAGGAGTGTTACTGTTGTATATATAAAAGATATTGAATTAACTAATAAGAATTCAAATATGTAATTTAATTTTCCGTTACAGTCAGAAAAGTTTCCACTCCTGTAAATTTGCAATTTACAAGCAAGTGCAGGATTATTTTATGGTTATAAAGAGTAAGTACAGTTTTTATTGTCTTACATATCTTTAAACTTCGTATGTACTTGCTTTGAGAGCAGATTACATCTAGAAGTATTCATTTTCGTACTTAAGAAGAAAAGAGTAAGACTCACTAAGAAACCATTAAGCAAAGACAAACCATTTCTCTCAGACTTTTATTCACGAAAACAAATAAAAGTTAATCGATAATGTTAAAGGCTAAAGCAGAGTGTTCTGCTTCTTGTCATTTATGCAAAACGTCAGTTTCATATTGACATTTTTCAACACAAAATGAAAATTAAGAGCTCTACTTACTTTCTTGGTGATTATTTACCAATAATTGGTAAATCATACATCTCAAAGAAAGATAGATAGATAGATAGATAGATAGATAGATAGAGAGAGAGAGAGAGAGAGAGAGAGAGAGAGATGTCAGAGTCTTAAACATTCCAATGGAATTTCGAATTTGTAAAACATTAGCCTTATTAGCAATGATCAATTATTGTTTCTTTTGTGTTTAAGAGAGACGTCAGCATGAAACGTAGTACAAATAACTAACTAAACGATGGTTGAAGATTATTGAAATGTGATAAATACATTCGACATTTTATTTTCAAGAAAAACTCGAAAACATTGTTCAAAATGGTTAGGTAAGTTAAAATAATCATTTTTTTACATTTAAGTATAATAAAAGGCGGGTAACATTTTAAAATTACTTGTTTTTTATATAATTAAATACCAATGTTTACTCATGTTGTGAGATAATGTTATTTTAACATTTCTTCTCTTAATATTCAAAACTATATCGTTAATTCAAAATTATTGTATTACTTGTACATTTAAAACTATAATAATTGTTTCAAATATAACTTTTTATTTTCTATTGTGATCTCAGTCCCCCTCAGTATTTCTAATTAATACACTTCACAATATCAAGATTTATTGAAATTTGCAAGGAGAGCAAAATTTGGTGGTTATACGCCTGTAGGGAGTAGTATAACTGGTTCCACTTTGAAGAAAATTACTCGAATCTTTGACAGTGGGAATCCTATGCCTTCAAAACGAATGACAAACAGAATCATTTGTTAACGAGATCACCCACAAAGACAATTGCCAAGTGCATAAGAGTCATTCATCGTCAAATGGCAAAGTACACTCACAAAAAATCACTTTTTGTGAGATTACGCTTGAAAATGTGTGACTTTCCTTTAATCTCACTCCAGAAGTATTAAAAATTATTTTTTTAATCCTGTGCGCGCTGTTAAACATATTTTCCACAGTTGCCTTCAGAGGAAATACAATTACGTGTAGAGAAACGAATAATATTCCCTAATAAACATGTATGTATGTACTTTAGTATAACAGCTCTTTACGAGATAACACCTTCCAGTAGTGCCCTGGCCTTGCGCCAGGGTTATGGGGTACGTGTGGTTAGCACACAGCCATCCCTACGCTGTATTTCTGGCATTCTCAACCTCAGAAGTGAACTTTCTCATCGCCACACAGTAACAGAGTCGAACTCGGGGTTGTGCCGTGGAAACTGAGAATGCTAACGAGCCACCGAGGGCCCATTAAAAATGTAGTTACACTAAATACGGACCTTACATTCCTGCATAACATTTTCGAGAACTGTACCTCCTGAGCAGTGTTTCCTATCAGGTATTAAAGGAACAAGTTCTGCTACAGAATGACACAGACTTTCGCGTACTACTTTTCTAATTCCTAATTCCTTTAGTCTGGACTAGCATTTCTGTTTTCCCTTTCCTCCTGTAAGATGCCATCTATTGCTATCAAATCAATTCCACAATTTCTCACATTTTCTAGGCATTTCGTTCCCTAATGGAAGAAGAGAAACATGATTTTAAGTATGTTATAGGAGGGAAAAATTTTGCCACATATGGAAATTTTCGTTAAAAAAATGGAGCTGGCTTTGAGAAAATGTCATTTAATCATTGCTGTATGCGAAATTTGAAGTTCTTTATCACAGAAAACCATTGAATTTTCGAAAAACATCATCGAAAGTAATTTAAAACACCTATCACATAGGCAAATATCTATTAAAATCAGTAAAAATATGATATTAAAGACATGAGAGATACTTCAAAAATATATTTGCAAAATTCGTGAAAAAAAGTACGCAGAAAAATCAATTTATGTCTAAACAGCGTTTGTAGCACCACCGTACAAAACGTTTGAAGAAAAAAGTTGGAGCTGCTTTTGGGAAATTTTTGTTTTGCATATTTTTACTTTCCTGTATACGTACGTATATACGGAGTAATATTCTGTGCGAAAAATAGGCGGATTTGCGGAAGAAAAAAACTCATTGCCGGGCCCTGACTACGAAAAAGTGGATGAATCCCTGTTTCGTTGGCCCCTGATACCGAAAAACCAAATCGACGGCAAAGCTTCCGTCTGAGCGTCCGTCAAGTGTCTGTGAACACTACTAGAGCCTAAAACATGCGTAGGATGTTTTCCAAATTGAAGAAAACCCTGTCAATCTGGCTCGAGTCGAAGCTTTGAGATTTTGAAAAACATTCTTAAAAACTCTTAAAGACTACAGACGGACGGACGTTTTGAAAAAAAAATATTTTTCGGTTTCAAGGGGATCCCCAAAATGCGTATTTCCGTTGAAATCTCTAAACGATTTTCCGCAGTATTACATAACTTTCTCTATTCTACGTGTTATACTTCGTATATTCGTACGTATACGAGAAAGTAGAAAATATTTTTTTTATTTGATCACGTAGGCCGCCTCTGTGCCTCTCACCGGAATGGAGACCCAACGGTGGCAGGGTTTTCGACACTAGCTTGTCAGCTCGGTCGAATTCAGCTGCCGTCTGGAGGAGAATTCTGGCGGCCGGCTGCTCCGATCGGTAGTTTTCCATGGCTTCTATGATCAACACCACACAATGCCGGAGCAGAATCCTAATCAACACACCTTCCTCTTCCCTGCCGTTTCCTAACCCCTTACACATAAGTGCTTACTCTTACATGCACTACACCACCACACATATCGGGAACTTAGAGCTTGCCCCGGATGAGGCGGTGCGAGGCGTACTGGAAGACGCCTGGTTGAAGGGAAAGCTCGCAAGTGGACGTACGCCAGCGCCGCGCAGACCTCAGACGCCTTCAGCGATAACAACACGCGGCCATAGATGCGTGCGATAGATGGCAGCTGGTAAGAGGATGCAGCAAGACACAAAAACGAGGCAAACCAAAGAAATCATAAAACTAATACCAGAAAGTCTGTGCCCTTCTGTGAGAAAAACTAGTTCTTACTGACACCTCCTCAATTGCAGTGCGAGAAATTCTAATTAACCATTTCAAATTGTTTTCCAATTTACGCACAAAGACCATTTCCTTTGGTCTCGGCTAGCTATTCGGACTTGCCACATACTCTTCCCGGCTGCCATCTATCGCTGCCCAAAATACTTTAAATTTTAAAAAAAGTCTGTTTCATAATAATAGAACGGAAATATTATTTTAAGAATATTAAGTAACAAGAAAACCTCGTCATCCATTGAAATTTTCTTTGAAAAATTTGGAGCCGTTTTAAAGAAACTGACGCTTAAGCGCTACTGAAAATTCGAAATTGACGTCTTTTTTCACAGAAAGTGTTTTCGAATAACTTCATTTTAAGTACTTTAAGGCTAAATGCACCGAAAAATACTTGTGGGAAAATTCAATAGATCGCAGCACTATCACAGGGGAA